AAGAGGAGCCGGGTATGTTAGAATTCCCCTGGGATCCTTACCCTGAGCTTGGCTTCCACAAGGCACCGCTGACCAGGTGTCTGAGGAGGAGGAAAAACCTCAAAATATGATCGAGGACTATCACCAAGAAAAAAAAAAAAAAATACACAGCAGTCAGATGATCCTAGGAATGAATATAAGGGGTCTGTCATTTTAAAAAGTTTTATTTGTAAGTGGTAAGAGGAGCCGGGTATGTTAGAATTCCCCTGGGATCCTTACCCTGAGCTTGGCTTCCACAAGGCACCGCTGTGAGTAAGGCACCGACATTCTGTTTGGGCAACTAAAACCGAATGTGAAGTTGAGAAACGCAAAAGCAGTGAAATTATTAAGCCCCTGGAAAACGAGAGCTACGAAGAAGCCTTTAAGTGGGTGGGATTATTTATCGCTGAAATAAAAACACCAGGAGGATGACTTCACTGTGGTTTCCAAATCCATGGGAGGTGACCAGCTGTTCTTTCTCCACTACACACGGAACAAAAGGGGCTTTGGCTTGAATTTCTATAAGGAGGACATACAAAGAGCTATCTCATCAGCAGGGTAGGTTACAGATCTCCTTTGCTGAAAATCCAGAATCCCCTCTACAGCCATATGTCTGGAATAATTCAGTCACAGCCCTCACACCAGGGAGGGTCCGTGCTAGATACCCGGAACTTCCTCTCCTGGTCCCCAAACTCTGAAATCAGAACCAGAGAGATTGGCTCACAGTCGGACTTCCTTTTGTGCCTCTTCAGCCCAAGTCTGGAAAGCAGACTTGGCAAAGGTGACCCAATGCGGGTGAGGGCTCCTCAATGGTATCTCACCATCAGGAAAAGCACGCCCCCGTATCCCATTTCACCCCTCCAAAAGTTGATTCACGGGTCATTTAAATCAGAAGACACTGCAAACACCTGGCTCTAGGGGACACCAGGAGACTCCCTGTATTGCTTCCCACTTGCCTGCTTTCCTGTGTCCTGGTCTAAGCTTAGATTGTGCATTATCCAAAAAATGATTATACCGAGAGCCGAAACTATGGTTGAGGCCCGGCAGGTTGTGGAGTTTAAGCAGAAACTCTTTGTTCATGCATCATATTTTTCTAAAGAGGTTTTGTTTGTTTGTTTGTTTTGCCTTAGGGTGAATGCATTCGCTGGGGGGTGGGAGGAGGGGAGAGAAACAATGAAAAGGAAAGTGAAAAGTCACCCCCTGGGGGGGGATGGCCTCCCCACAATCCCTTCTCCTCCATTTTCTCCCCGGATCTTGGGCACGTACACAAATGCACCAAGCGGGATTTTCAGGCCACCAGGTCTGGGACTCAAATCGAAGTCGGCCATGTGGGAGTCCAGCGATGTAACCGCTACGCCATCTGTGGGCCCCACGCATCATTTCTTTTTTTGAGAGAGAGATTTTTGCTATAGGGTGCATGCCCACTTGCTGGAGAGAGAGAGAAAGTGAGAAATCATCCCCTGCGGAGAATACCCCTTCTCCTCTATTCTCTTCTTGAGTTTTCGGGCAGGCATGCACACACGTGTGAGTTTTAAGCCGCTGGGTTTGGGACCACAGTCGACTACCTTGGAGTCCTGCAATGTAACTGCTATCCCATCTGCTGATCCCCATGAAAACTATTTGTAAATGTAGAGAGTTCAATCTGATTTTGAAATCAACTAGCTTGACTTTCTCTTGAGACACCATGAAACACAAAAAAGCAATCAAAACATTTCAGTTCTGGGACCAGCGAATGGCGTAATGGTTACGTCCCTGAACTCCCACATAGTCGGCTGAGGCGCGAGTCCCAGACCCAGCAGCTTAAAACTCATGCCAGGCGCATCTGTGTGCATGCTCAAAATCCTGAGAGGAGAACGAAGGAGAAGGAATTGCGGCATGGCCAGTCCCCCTAGGGTATGATTTCTCTATCTCTCTTTCTGGGGAACATACATGCCCTATACAAAAAGCTCCATTCAGAATCACATCAAATTTCTTTGGGAGAAGACGAAGGGAAAGAAGCAGTTCTGCTTTTGGCTCCATGGGGTACTTTTGGGTGCTACAGTCAAGTGCAATTACAATGGGTGGCTTTTTATTTCAACTTTTATGAAGCAGAGGTCACAAACTGGCAGCCTGTGGGTCAAACCACGCTCATCCATGTGTTCTTTTAGGTCTGACTTCACTTACTAAGTTTTTAAAATTTGGCCCAGCAGGAGATATGGTGGTAAAGGCACTGGGTCCCACATGGCCAGCTCCATGGTTCAAGTCCCAGACCTGGCAGCTTGTGCATGTGGATGACGCATGCCCAAAATCCCGAGGGGAGAATGGAGAAGGATTGCTGTATGGCCAATACCTTCCTTGGGGGATAATTTCTCACTTTTCCTCTCTCTCTGTCCCTCTCTGATGAGCTCATGCACCCTACGACAAAAATCTTTAAAAAGTTTTTAAAATTGAATTGCCAACATGTAAAAAATTATTTTTTTCATGCAAAATCCAGATTTTCTGCTTCTCTTGAAAAATGGGAAGCTGAAGAAATACTACATGGCCACAATCAGCTGGAAGCAGCTGCCCCCGTGGGTGGGACTGGAGTTTTTCAGTTTGCCATAGCCCTTAATGTCCCCCCCTTATCTCTTGTCTGACAGTGAGAGGATACCCACTTATCACACAGCTGACTTTCCTTGCACCTGGCCTGGTACGCTGGTGTCCCTGGAGGCACAGGAGCTGCTAAATAAGAGCAGTAATGTTCACCAAAAGAAAACTGCAAAGACATCTAAGAGAACCAAGTTTGAGCTGAGGTGGTGGGTGTGTCATTCCTTCTCCACAAAGAAAACAGATTTTTCCCTCGTTTCTTTTAAAGGAAAAGATGTGCAATTCTGCAAAAAGAGCTCTGAAAATCATGTAACCCCCCACATGCTGGGGAAGGCAGTCTTCCTGTTTATTTGCACTGGAGTGAGGGGACCTGAAACTAGGGTTAGTTTAAAAAAAAGCAGACACTGTGGTTACGAAGTAGCAAGACTGAGCTTTGCAAACACACAGGCACTTACATATCCATAATATCGCACATCAGTTCCAATGATCGACTCCACTGCTAAAGACATTTCTTTAAACTTCTGATCTGGAACTACCTTCGGTTATCACCAGCATGTCGACCAAATGCTCTGTCTCACGCTTTTATAGTCCACTCTCATTTTGGGCTCAAAAAGCTATTCCCTGGCTGGGTCGCCACCTGAATACCGGGGCCTGGACTGGGGTAACTTTTGACTCTGGAGATCACCGGGACTCATCAACCCTGCCACTTAGCCCTCTGGTGGGGCTTCCTCCCCACATTGCATGGCCATGCTAAGCACATCAAGGTAGTCTCTACTACTTCAAGCCAACCTCTGAGAAAGGAGCACACCTGTACCTGGGCTTTTTCCTCCCTGATCACGCTCCTGGAAGCTGACTGCGTCGGCACTCGATCCCTTCTGCAGAGCAGGAGTGTTATGGTGAAGATTAGCTGACCACATCACCCGTCTTATGCACACGAGCCTTCTACTCCTAGGACCCAGGCCTTTCATTGAGATCATCCCCAATACATAAAAGCCTGTGCCTTGGCAGAACCGTTTTCTGAATTCCACCTTATCATTTCCACTGTCTGAGACAATTTGTGAGTCAGAAAAATGCAACTCTCCTTAAAACAGATGTTTGGCCTTAATCTGCAAGGCAACTAGTTCCATTCCTAGCGTCATGGAGAGAATTTTAAAAAGAAAGAAAGAGACAGAGAGAGAGAGACCAATGAAGCAAAACGAGGAAGTCAGAATTCTCAACTTCTGAGTTAGACAATCACCCTGATGGTTCCATTACTTGGTATTTTGGCATTTGTTGACCAGAAACATTAGTATTTCAAAGTATTTAAATGAAACTAAAACATCACCTGATTTTCAGACTAGCACATTCTCTTTTTCCCTTCCATTTTCCTAAGGAGTGAATTTATGGAGCGTACTCTCTGCCCATACCCCGAGAGCCGTTAATGCTTCCCTCTCCCAGAAATCCAAGCCATCCCTGGGGCCACTTTCTCACAAATGCCTCATTTCGTGCGCAAAGCTGTCCTAAAAGCGATCCTTTGGGGCATGAAACATCTCTTACCGCAATAAGAAATCTCTCTGATAACGTTCCAAGTGAGTTTTCACATGTGAGCTAGTTTGGACCAACCGATCTCCTTCATGGAAGGTAGGCTGAGGTTGAAGCAGCAGGGCGGGCAGTCCTGTGTGGGCAGGGGCCCTGGGCCCGACCCAGATTCCACAGTGGCAACATGGAACGTCTCTTCTCCGACGAGATGCCTGGGTTCTGGGCAGTCGGCCTTGCAGCTCACTGTCTCAGAGCAGCTGCAGGAAACTCAATGCCAGAGAACAGACGAGCACGTTCTTCTCCCAAGAAGCTGCCAGCTGCCTTTTCAGAGCAGGGAGCATGAAAAACGCACACAAAACCCTTCCTTCCGACAGGGGTGCTAGCCTACCCCTCCTCCGTTCCCTTCTCACCTGCCTTGCTATTTCCCAGCTCCCCCTTTAATGCTGGCCCCACCTGAGGAAGGAGTGAAAACCGTGGTTCCTGGGCTGCAGGCTGGAACAACAGGAGGCAAAACCCCAACAGCACGCGTGGAACAGGTAGAGAAAAGATGCACACATCTGCACGAGGGTCTCAGGGAGGGGGTTTCTGCAGGAGAGACCACGCCTTCCGTACACGTGTGCTGATCGACAAATAGGACACGAACGATTGCTCTCCCTTTGGAAACAAACTATGTAGAGAAGCCATTCGTAAAAATAGAACATCTACTTTGTGGGACAGTCCCCTCCTTTCTACCTTCTTGAAAAGAGGGTTGTCATTAGTCAAACCATTCAGCAGATTAAGTGGCCACCACGTCCACGCACTGCGGTATTTCAGTGAACTCTGATCCACGATGTTTAGGACACAACTGAAGCAATAGCATTATCCCACTGCCAGGCATCAGTCTCTTAAAAGTAAACTTCCGGACACCAGCATCTGAGATACAGCACAGTGAAGTACTCCAGGGAAGCTGGGCACGCTTGCGAGTGTCCATGCGGTACCTACACAGGCTCAGAGGCGGCTCTGTGTACGAGGGCCTTCTGCACGTTGACTGATCCATCTCGGGTGGAAGGGTTCAGAGGGTCAGCCCGGCCCTGTGAGCCCACCTTGGCCAGCCATGTCACTCACTAATGCATGAAGACTCACTTCCAGTGACTATATTTTCCGTCACTTTCTTGACCTCTGACTCTAAGCTTGTTTAACATCCATGGCATCACACGTTCCACGTCGGAATCAGGTAGGAATGTCATCTTCAACTGGCACTTGTTTCTGTGGCTGTAATGATGTGAAAAGTGCTTTTTCAAGAAAGCGTTTCGAACTGAAGTAGCCAACAGTGAACAGGCAGAGGTTGCCAAGCACAATGAAGTCTGAGTGATCAGTGCAGGTGTTTTTCCTGTTTCTCTTTACCGATTTCCTCCCTACCTCCCAGGACAAGCTCTGACCTGAGGCCTGATGCTAACTTGGCATGCTGTTGTCAGACCTGGCAGATGTGTCTCCAGAGCTCCATGTGCTTCTAGAAAACTGGAGACTGTGCCAAGATACCTGGTAAAGAACTGGGACAAGGACTGGCCAGAATTTCACTCCAAATGTCTTTGCGTGAGATCTCAGCTCCAAGTGGGCCAGGCAACCAGAGAGACAGCTGGAAACCAAAGAGAGGCAGCAGCTAAAGTGGCAATGCTCAGACTCCCACTGCGTTACAAAGGGGCGACTGCTTGGAGTTCATCGGTGTAGCTGTGGCAACCAAGGTCTGCTTTGCATGTCCCAGGGGTGAGGAGCTTGGAAGGAAGGGCAGGTGGCTCCTCTTCACCTAAGGACAGAAGAGAGAACAAAGCCACATGGTCATTGCATTTCACTGGGCTGGGTGTTTGTGCCAGAAAGTGGCTGGATCTAGGTCTGGGTATGGCTTTGGGCAGGAGGCAGGCATCCCAATCAGGTCAATGCTGGGCATCCTCATCCTCTTAATGACTTCGAGTTCCCTTGAGAAAAAGACTTCCTTGAAGATCTAGAATTTGCATGCCTGAGGTCCAACAAGTGACAGGCATGGTAAGGAGCAGCCAGAGGGGCCAGCAGGTGGCATGGTTGTTGTGGTGCTGGACTCTCCTACATGGCTGACTGTGATTCGTATGCCAGACCTGGAGGCTTTCTAGCTTTCCCTCTCTCTCTCTTTCTCTGATCCAATTAAACAATAATACTATTAGGGGCTGGCAGGTGGTGTGGTGGTTAAAAGCACTGGACTCCTACATGGCCAACAGCAGTTCAAGTCCCAGAGACAGCAGCTTGCTTTCTCACTCCCCCCAACACCCTGTCCTTTTCTGGTCAAGTTAAAATAAATAAATAAAATAAATAAAGTTCAATTAAATAATTCCTTCAAAAAATAATCATTCTTTTTTAATTTTTAAAAAGAATATTATTATTTTAATTTGCTATAGGGCATGTGTGCATACCAGAGAAACAGAGAGAGCAAGCAAAGGAAGGTGAGAAAGCAAGCCATTAGGTCTGGGACTCAAACCTCAGTCAATCAGATGGCAGCCCAGAACTTTAACCCCCACACCACCTGCTGGCCCAAAATAAATAATTCTTAAAAAAAAAAGAGCATGCGCCTGAGATGGTATTGTTAGGGATCCCTAGGGAAGTGAGCCCTCCTGCTTGTGCCTTGTGTTAAGCTAAAATGGAGAGAACACTGCACCCAGGATGAGAATGTGGGGGACAGGAAACTCTGACAGGTCCCCACACTCTTATCCAACACCCTTTTGGTATTAATGTTTGGGAGTTTCTGAGAGGTGATATAAGGTACGTACTGCATACCGTGTAACGCCCCTTTCTGGGTCTGGGCAGCTCGCCATAGTGGAGCATCATCATTTTGCAGCTCAAGCACTGACTATCCTCATTACCTGGGATAAATCAAAGTTTTCAGAGAAGTTGTGCCGCCCCCCACTTTCCAGCAGGTTTCGCTGCCCAGTTAGTAGGCAGCCAAATTCCAAAACCACTTGGAAGACCTCGGCAGGTGGCCAAAGCTGTGGTCTGTTCCAGGAACAGGAGCCCACGGCACCTTACCCAGGCCCGAGGAGGAGGACACGCTCTCCGTCAGGGAGGACGTTTCAGTCTGGTCCGCAGAGAGCCCCTCCATCAGCGGCAGAGACAGCTCAGAGGAGGGCACGGATGAGTCGTAGATGCCTGAGTCCCGGGGCATGTCCGATGGGCTGCCAGCTTTCACTGGGTGCAGCAGGGGCTGTAGGGTGGGGCCGCCATCGCAGCCGGCCCGCAGATCCCCATCTTCGTCCAGGCTGATCTGCTGGCCCTCGAGCTGCGAGTCAGCCCGCCCCACTGCCCCAAGCACGGCCAACTCGGCCTTCAGGCAGAGGTCGCTCTCGGACCCTGGTTTGCACATGACGTCATTTAGCACCAAGCCCGAGTCGAACTTCTCCAGGACTGGCTCCCGGTGGCGCAGCGGGGGAGGATGGAAGGGAACGAACTGCTTCTCAAACCAGTCCGGCTCCTCGTCAATGAACTGGTGCATGTTGCAAATGGCCACGTACAGGGACCGGCCCGATTTGCTCCGGAAGTAGTTCCTTCTGCTGCCGTGCCCTGGGTGCTGCCCCGGCTCCTGGGGGCCGTGGTCTCGCGAGTGCAGGTGAGAACAGAGCTGGGGGAGGTTGTCCATGAGCTTGTACTTGGTGCTCAGGTCCAGGACGCCGGGCACGTCTCCTTCGCAGGAGTAATCAAAGTAGACGGCGATGAACTTGCTGAGCGCGGCGGGGGAGCTCTGCTTGGCCTGGCGGAGCTTCTCTGCGATGGCCGCCACGGCCACCAGGAAGAGCTCCCCCTTCCCGGAGCCGCGGCCTCCCCCTTTGTGTTTGTAGTTCTTCTTGTCCACAAAGTACTTCATGCCTTTGGAACACACCACGATGACGAACTGGGACTCCTGGATCTTCTGGGTGACCCACTCTCGCTGCCCGGCTCTGCACAGGCTGAAGTCTTCCCACAGGTCCAGAGCCACCTGCAGAGAAGACAGGGCCCCTCACTCACCCGAACGATCGGGAAGAAGAGCTACGTAGGTCACGTCGTCTGTTCTGTGCCATTATGACTAGCAGGGTCGTGGGAAGGCTTGGGGTTACCCAGTGCTACGGTTCCTGGGTGGTCAGACCCCAGGCCCTCGGCAAGGGCTTGGCCCCAGCAGCCGGTTTAGCATGTGTGGGTTCATCACCACTCCTGCCCTCGCACTGGGGAGAGGGACGCACAGAGCCTTGGGCAACCCCAAACTACACAGGATGCCCTCGAGGACCCTAGAGTGGTGGAAAGCAATGCGACCGGGAGGCATTCAGGTTGGTGGTTCAGGTGGGTGAGGCCTGGATGGGAGGGGCAGGTCCCAGAGAGAAGGCTGGCAGGCTCGGGGAGCAGGACACGGATGGTAACCCCCAAGGTGCGCTGGGGAATGGGACTCGGTCCTGGGTGTCAGTCACCACAATGGTCGATGACTTGTGTCCAGAGACTGTGACTGACAAAAAAGGACTTCTGTGGCCTTTTTCACAGCCCTGGAGTCACCCATGCTGTTCAGCAGTGGGCTGATGGTTGGAGACAAGGGTGGTGACCTGCAGAGGCATGGCTATTCCTGTTAACTCACTTGGGCGTGGCCAGTACCTCCCTTCAAGGCTTCACAGAGGACCACAGGGTCACAGCTCTGCAAGACCTGTAACTCCAGGGGGGATCTGACAGGGAGGGAGGAGGGGACATTCCTGACAAAGGAAAGAAAACCAAGTGGCTTCACCTCCTCAGACCACTTTCGTCTGCTGCTGCTGGAAACGCCTCTTGGCAGTTAGGTTCTCTTCCATTTGTAGTTCGGAAATAAATTCCCAGCGGCTGTGACTGAACACGGCAGGTTCCGTCTCTTGTAGGGGAAGGACATTCTGAAAGGACTGTCCTCTGCCCTAAGACAATTACCAGGCGGAAGAGAGCCCCGACTTCCATCCTCTTGCTGAAAATAACCCTGACTGGTCTTATACTTTCCTTAATTCTCGTAAACTTTATATAGGCTAAAAGCTAATTGGGAACATACCAAGCATTTTAAAATGCTCCTTTTCTTGGTCAAGTAATTTTATTTTCAAGCATCTATCCCTGGCAAATTATCAGAAATGGGGCAATATTTAACTACTGAGTTAATAAGTTAGACTAACTCAGTTACGGTGAACCAATATTATTGGATCAAGTGTCTATTTAAAGTGTAGTATACATAGAATTGCTAGTAGCATATATAATTAATAAAAGATTGTTTTTTTTTAAAAAAATCATTCCTATTTACCTGAAATGGCTAATAGTATCTATGGGGCCAGCAGATGGCCTGGCAGTTAAGGTGCTGAGTTCCCACACGGCCGCCCAGTTTGAGTCCTAGACCTACTGGCCTGGAAATCACACTGGGTATGTGTGTGAGAGTGCCCAAAATCCCAAGAGGAGAATGGAGAAGGGACTGTGGCATGACCATCCCCCCTAGTGGGATTTCTCAATTTCCCCCTCTCCCTCTGGCAAGTGCATGTGCCCTATGGCAAAAAACAAACAAACAAAAACCCGAATGAACAAAAGCTGCATGTATGAGCTCATCTGTGTGGAAAACGACTGGAAGGAAGTATACCAGTGACCGTGGTTCCTCTTTCTTCAGATTAGGGTTCCAGGCAATTTTTTATCATCCTTTTCTAATTCCTAAATTTTCTGCGGTGAACGTTACGCTCATAATTTTAAGTGTTTTTCCTAGAGACTAATCACTTGCAAAGCCCAGCAAACTGGCGTGTCTGTGTTATCTGAAGACAACACGGGCCACTGGCCGGCGTTTGCAGTTACTTTGCTGAAGCTTCCCTTCTGCGACCTCACAGTTTCTATGCAGGAGAGAAATGCGCAGGTCTTGCAGATACATCTTATTGACACCAGGGGGCAGCCTCACCACATGGAGAGATGCTGAGAACCATCAGCGGTCGGGTTCAAACCACAAATAGGTTCCAATTACACAATTATCGTATACAATTCTTGCATTTGTAAGAAATGAGGTGTGTGTCCACCAGAGCTTTGAACTTCAGTAAAAATTAACACTACGACATTAAAGAAAAGTTCTATATTATTAATAGCTTAACTCAAGAGAATGGCCCAGAAACCAAAGCAGACGTGAGCACTTCACACACTGCTGTTCTCTGGGGGCCCTCCTTTCCTAGTTCTGTCCCACACTGCCAGTTTCTCTCATTCCACAACTTCATACCAGTCACTGACCAAGCAATTGCTCAGAGTCTTTGTTAAATACTCCTCCCTGCACCTCAAGAGCCCCTACAATGGCAGTTGCATTCTCCATTCCCCTTCTGGGCAAAACTTTCCCAGAGAACTGTCTAAACTCACCGTTTTACTTGCTGTTCTCTTCCTGACCCTCCAAGGGGGCTTCTGTCCTGACCTGCTCAGGGTGCATATTCCTATGGCGACTGCTAGTCTTTTATTTATTTTAAAGAGAAGGTCTCACCATATCACAGTCTTCCTGCCTGTCTCCCAGCTTGGACTACAGGTGACACCGCTATGACACCGCTATGCCTGGTGGGTTTTTTGGTTTGTTTTTCCTAAGACAGGCCCTTGCTCAGTCTCAAACTTTCCATCCTGCTGGCTCAACCTCTCGGAGTGGCTGGGATTACAGATGCATGCCACCAAACTTGGCCTATAGGCTGGACCAGGAATTGAACCTAGGTCTCCCTTTGTGGTTCCAGCTGCTGAATACGTCTTAGCAGCGTGTACCAGCACAGCTGAGCCTACTGGTCTTCTTAATGCCTCCAAAGCCTCCTGCCAGGTGGATGCCACTCCAGGTTACTGAGCAGGAGCATGTCAGGCTTAGATGTAAGCATTATGGGAACCAGCAGTTGGTGTAATGGTTACATCACTGGACTCCCATGTAGTTGACCACGGTTCAAGTCCTGGACCTGGTGACTTAAAACTCACACTGGGTGCATGTGCAAGTCCAAGTGCATGCATGCCCAAGATCCCAAGAGGAGAATGGAGGAAGGGACTGTGGCATGGCCATCCCCCCGGGATTTCTCACTTTCTGTCCCTTTGTCTCTCTGATGAGTGCACATGACCTACAGCAAAAATCTCTCTAAAAAAATAAAAATAAGTAAGCATTAGGAAACAGTACTGGCAGTGGGTGGGGCGGACTGAGAGAAGAGTGCAAGACTGTCCCTAGTTTAGAAGCTATGGCACTAGTCCAGGATAGGTGTCACCAGAGGCCTGATGGAGAGGAGGGAGAAGGCGGCGAGGACTGGTCACGAGTGCTTATCAGGCCAGGGTAGAGAGGAGGCTTTAGGTCCCACACCTCGCAGCCACAGAAGTCCTGGAGGAAGTAGGCAAAACACTGGACGACGTTCATGTGGTTCTGGCCGTCTTTACTGGAGTAGCAGAGGAAGACCTTCGGCCGCGGCCGGAGCCCCTCCCTGGGCAGTGCTGCAGTGTACGTGGAGGCCTCGGAGCTCTCTTCATCCAAGTGAGAGTATATGTTTTCTAAATCAGAAAAGAAGATGTGGTTGACACTACAAGCTACACCTGTTCTGTTCCCTGAGGCTCAAAACCCCAGCTATCTCCCAGGAAGAAGAGCTGGCGCGTCCATCTGCAGTAGGCCTGGTCCTCCCACTCCTCCAGTCCCTTGGGTCATCACTAGGACTGGGGACACTTGGCTTACACAGAGGAACAATGAGCGGTTGAAATTGTTCTCAACTGAAATTGACCTGGGACAAGCTAAGAAGCGCTGCCAGGGCCACCCTAATCACAAAAGCGCCCAGAACTAGCTCTTGAGACCAAGTGCCCGTAGACCAACTAAGCACTGGTAGGGCTTTCTTTTTTAAAAAATAAAAGGTGTTCATTGAGGTGTAATTTGCACAGGTAGAGTGCCTACATCTTAAGTGTACATCTCACTAAATTTTCATGTGACTACACACTTACATGACCTGCACCAAGACCAAGAAATAGATCATTGCCAGCTCTGCGGAGGTTGTCTCGTGACCTCTGACTTCTATAAATGATCAAGTCCTACTAAATCCTTCCTGGAACTTTAGACTTCCCACTGTGCCCTTGAATCTACTTTCCTGGGTTTGAGAACAGAATTATGCCTGTCCTCGGAGGGCCAGCAGATGGCATAGTGGTTATGTCATTGTACTTCCACATGACTGAACATGGTTCAAGTCCAGGACCCAATGGCTTGAAAATCATGCTAAAAACATTTATGTGTGTGCCCAAGATCCTGGGAGGAGAACGGAGAAGGGACCACAGCGCGGCCAACCCCCTGCAGGGTGGTGATTTCTCGCTTTCTCTCTCACTGTCTCTGTCTCTTTCTCTCTCTCTGGAGCACATACATGCCCTAAGGCAAAACCCTCTTCCAAAAAAAAAATGGTACCAGTCCTTTCAGTAGCTCCTGAGGTTGAAAGCTAAACACTCTCATCCTGGGATCTACAGTAGCCAGCGAACTGCCTCCGAACCGTGAGGGTTCCCAGACGCCAGCCCGCAGGAACCAGGTGCTCCAGCCTCCCTTTCGGTTGGCAGTGCTCCCTGGCCTGCCCCTGGGGGGCGGGGGGCACACAGCACACAAAGGGATACCTTGTTGCTTCTTGCGGCACATGACAGTGAAGAGCGTTGCGAATGCGGAGATGACGACCAGCGGCACGGTGATGGCCACAGCTCTGATGGGCCCAGCCCACGGGGAATGCACTGGGGGATTTCAAAGGGAAAGCTTTCAGACTTAAGCCTCGGAACAGGTTCAAAGAGAAAAACCTTTTTTTTTTTTTTTAATGCTTTTCTTTTCAAACATAAGCCACATAACAGGTTCCAGGACCCAACCACCACCTTTTCTCTAATGCTGGTTTGGTGATTATAAAAGGATTCTACAGTTCATTTTTAAAGGGTTTCAGAAAACAATTCCCCAGTGAGGAGTCTGCTGGGACCTTAAATACCTTGGAGTGAGAATTCTGCCTAAGGAAACCTCCCCTCCCACCACTTTTCTCCGAGGACAATCGACTATTCACTTTCCCTGCACTGGCTTTGATCTCAGGCTGTGTCAGGGTGGAAGGGAAGGCAGGTCTGATGGAACACATCTGAGCGAGAGGAGCCGAATTCCTTTTTGTTTTTGTAACCCATGAAGCACGGAAAGCATCGGATACCGTGGTGTGCAGTGTCTATAGCCAGAATGTCAAACACACGGACTTTACCTGGCTTTAGGGCATAATGCATCACTTTTCTTGTCGTATTCGTGTCATCGACCAGCTGCAGAACAGAGGGCACTGCGTTAATTAGTTTTTAGAGAGGAGCCTTTACAGACTACTTCTAGAAATAAGTGGGGAAATGGTGATTTCATTCATTTCCCATCAGTGGGCAGTAGGGGATGACTGTAAGGGGACAGGATGGAGGAGAACGGCTGAAGATGAGGGCGGGTGGGCCTGCATTCATTTCCCAGGCTGGGGTCAGGCGCTAAGAACAGGCGAGCTCAGCTTGCTTCACCCACTCACAGTTCCAGGGTGCATCATGTTTCCTTTCCTGAATCAAAAAGCTGTTTATTCATTGAAGGATTTGGCTAATGAGACCCACATTGGAACAATGTTCAATTAAACGAGCATCCGCCTCTATTAATGCCTCAGGAAGGTGTGTCGGTTCAGAAGTGCATTCTGCCAGCGAGGAATGTGAGCGCGGGGCGTTTCTGCCCAAATGTTAAGACGTGCTATGCTGGTTGTCTCTGAATAGTGAGACTGTGGACTGCTAACTGCTTCGCTTTTTCACCCTTCCTTTTGTAGTGCCAACCTGATACTCAAAAAGTAATTTTTAAAAAGAAAAGAGATGAGGGCCAGCAGGTGACGTGGTGGTTAAGACACTGGACTCCCACATGGCCCACAGCGGTCTGAATCCTAGACCTTGAGGCTTACTTTCTCACTTCTCTCACTCTGTCCCTCTCTGGTCAAAAATTAAAAAGAGGGGGGGACCAGCAGTTAGCATAATGGCTATGTCGCTGGACTCCCACGTAGTCGACCATGGTTCAAGTTCCGGACCCGGTGGCTTAAACTCACGCCGGGCGCGTGTGCGTGCGTGTCCAAGATCCCGAGAGGAGAATGGAGGAGAAGGGATTGTGGCGTGGCCATCTCCCCTGGGGAGTGATTTCTCGCTTTCTGTCTCTGTCTGTCTGGCAAGCGCACACGCCCTATGGCAAAAAAACTTTTCCAAAAAAAAATAATAAAATAAATAACAATAAATAAATAAAGTGAAATAAAATAATTCTTTTTTTAAAAAAAAGAAAAGAGATGTCATTTGTATGCTCTTGGAAGTGGTGTTTGGAACTCATGTATACATACTTATGTAGAAGAACGCATGGCAACAGCAACCCTAGGGAAATAAAGCAGATGCAATAGGTGTAACGTTGGGGGTAGAGTTTATTTGTTTTGGGGATTTTGTTTTTCTTTTGCTGTTTTAATACTGAAAACTTTTATAAAGCTAAATGTTTTTTTAAAGTTTTTGCTATAGGGCATGTATGCTCTCCAAAGAGACAGAGAGAGAGAAAACCTCTCCACCCTGGGGGGTGGCTATACCTCAATCCTTTCTCCTCCATTCTCCTAAATATACATTTAAAACGTTCAGCTTTCGGGACTGGAGGTGGGGTGGTGGTTGAGGGTGCTGGACTCCCACATGGCCAACCATGGTTCAAGTCCTGGACCTGGCAGCTTGGTTTCTCACTCCTCCCCACCCTCTCTCTCTTTGCTCTGTTCCCTCTCTGGTCAAATTAAAATAAATAAATAAAGTTAAATAAAATAATTCTTAAAAAAATAATAAACTTTGGGTCAGCAGGTGGCATGGAGGTTAAGACACTGGATCCCACATAGCTGGCTACACGGGTTGGAGTCCTGACTTGGCGGCTTGAAAAATCATACCAGGCGTGTGTGCTTATGTGCTCAAAATCCCAAGAGGAAACTGGAGGAGAAGGGATTACAGTGTGGCCATGCCCCCTGGGGTGGTTGTTCACGTTCACTTTCTCCCTCTCTCTGGTAAGCACACATTCTCTATAGCAAAACCTAAAAAAAAGTACATTTATAGTATGAACACATATTATATACTATGTTGATAAGTACACTGCATATAAATTTTAAATCATAGCTATATTATGAACTATATGGTTACATAAAAATACTTATTTGAAATGGTTAATGAAAAGATCAAAGATCGATTATGTGTAAACTTTAAAAAAGCACATTAAAAACCATATAAAATATAACTGCACACCTTCAGTGGCTTGAAATTTTAGTGTTGTAAACACTTGGAATTCTACACAGAGTGAATTCAGACTGCAGAATTAATAATAGGGCTTTCTTGAGTTATACACACCTCAATTATATAATCCCCTGGAGAAATATTCTGAAGGAGGCAGCTGGTTGTCTCTGTATTTTGCTCCTGCCAAGAAGCAAAGAACACTTTAAAAACTCATTTCTTGGGAAAAGGCCACCAGGACCCCTCTTCCACCCTAGAACTACAGAGACTGACCACCAGTCTCGACCAGTTTTCAGATGATGGAATTAGATCAGAAAGCAGCTGTTAACCTCCACGTGCTATCTGAACTTCACTCTGATGAAAAGCAGTGAGCACCCACTTCCATCTTCTTCGCTTAGCAGGTGGCACCCTTAGTGGTAATATTTGATTTGAAGACAAAGAAACTAGTCAGAATACTCTTTACTTAATAAAAAGGGTGGGGGAAGAAATTACCAGTGTGTGTTTGTATATATTTAATTTCCCATAAATTTAACTTGAGCAGAAGATCAAAGAAGGTCAATGACAGGGCTGGCTGGTGGCAGTGGTTAAAATGGCTGGATCCCATATGGCTGACTGCACAGTTCAAGTTCAAGACCCACAGCTTGAGAACCATGCCAGGCATGTATGCCTGTGTGCCCAAAACTCAAAAAGGAGGGAGAAATGGAGGAGAAGAAATTGTGGTGCAACCATTCTCCATGGGGAAGGTGCTTCATCTCTCTCCTCTCTTTCTCTCCAATGAGTACACACTCACTGGCAAATTAAAAAAAAAAAAAAAAAAAAAAAAAAAAAAAACACAACGTTCAGCTTTCGGGACTGGAGGTGGGGTGGTGGTTGAGGGTGCTGGACTCCCACATGGCCAACCATGGTTCAAGTCCTGGACCTGGCAGCTTGGTTTCTCACTCCTCCCCACCCTCTCTCTCTTTGCTCTGTTCCCTCTCTGGTCAAATTAAAATAAATAAATTAAGTTAAATAAAATAATTCTTAAAAAAATAATAAACTTTGGGTCAGCAGGTGGCATGGAGGTTAAGACACTGGATCCCACATAGCTGGCTACACGGGTTGGAGTCCTGACTTGGCGGCTTGAAAAATCATACCAGGCGTGTGTGCTTATGTGCTCAAAATCCCAAGAGGAAACTGGAGGAGAAGGGATTACAGTGTGGCCATGCCCCCTGGGGTGGTTGTTCACGTTCACTTTCTCCCTCTCTCTGGTAAGCACACATTCTCTATAGCAAAACCTAAAAAAAAGTACATTTATAGTATGAACACATATTATATACTATGTTGATAAGTACACTGCATATAAATTTTAAATCATAGCTATATTATGAACTATATGGTTACATAAAAATACTTATTTGAAATGGTTAATGAAAAGATCAAAGATCGATTATGTGTAAACTTTAAAAAAGCACATTAAAAACCATATAAAATATAACTGCACACCTTCAGTGGCTTGAAATTTTAGTGTTGTAAACACTTGGAATTCTACACAGAGTGAATTCAGACTGCAGAATTAATAATAGGGCTTTCTTGAGTTATACACACCTCAATTATATAATCCCCTGGAGAAATATTCTGAAGGAGGCAGCTGGTTGTCTCTGTATTTTGCTCCTGCCAAGAAGCAAAGAACACTTTAAAAACTCATTTCTTGGGAAAAGGCCACCAGGACCCCTCTTCCACCCTAGAACTACAGAGACTGACCACCAGTCTCGACCAGTTTTCAGATGATGGAATTAGATCAGAAAGCAGCTGTTAACCTCCACGTGCTATCTGAACTTCACTCTGATGAAAAGCAGTGAGCACCCACTTCCATCTTCTTCGCTTAGCAGGTGGCACCCTTAGTGGTAATATTTGATTTGAAGACAAAGAAACTAGTCAGAATACTCTTTACTTAATAAAAAGGGTGGGGGAAGAAATTACCAGTGTGTGTTTGTATATATTTAATTTCCCATAAATTTAACTTGAGCAGAAGATCAAAGAAGGTCAATGACAGGGCTGGCTGGTGGCAGTGGTTAAAATGGCTGGATCCCATATGGCTGACTGCACAGTTCAAGTTCAAGACCCACAGCTTGAGAACCATGCCAGGCATGTATGCCTGTGTGCCCAAAACTCAAAAAGGAGGGAGAAATGGAGGAGAAGAAATTGTGGTGCAACCATTCTCCATGGGGAAGGTGCTTCATCTCTCTCCTCTCTTTCTCTCCAATGAGTACACACTCACTGGCAAATTAAAAAAAAAAAAAGCAAACACACACACACCAGAAATCCTTAATTCTTTTGATTAGTTGGCAGTACTTTTACCAGGCTACATCAGCACTCAGAAAGCCAAGGTTTGGATAACTGGAGAAAAGGGTTGGCAAAGTGGTTCTGAGACATACCCAGTGCTAACATTCTAGAAAGTCTATCAACCTCTGAGAGCCAACAATGCCTAATGCTCAGTCAGCCGCTCAAATTCCAATGGCCCAGAGGTCACCAAAGAACAGTGTTCTTCTATATACACCTAGCAGCTTACCTGCCGACAGGTCTTTCTCTTAAAGGGTCCTTCGTGCTTGAGCTTGTAATGCAGATAGAAGAAACGGAAGCCAAAGCTGGGTGGTGCGTGGTCGAAGGACACCTGCATGTCTGAACCGTGCTGGGTGATGTTCAGGTTCCGAGGCTTCCAGACTGAGGAAGAAGAACCTGGAGTGAGCATCGAGGCGGCCCCACACCGTCATGTGGCAACACCTTGGGACTTGGCCAACAAGAACGGCTATACTTACAGGGTTTACAGGCCAGGTTGTCCGGCTGTAACAGCAGGTCGCAGGCTACCAAGAGAGAAACATTATTTTTCATTTTAGGATTTTCTTTAAAGAATTATCTTATTTAACTTTGTTTATTTATTTTAATTTGACCAGAGAGGGACAGAGTGAGAAGGAGGGAAGTGAGAGAGCAAGCCACCATGTCCAAGGCTTGAACTGTGGTTGGTCATATGGGAATCCAACATCCTTAGCCACCATGCCACCTACCGGTGCCATTAACCAACAATTTAATAAAATATACTACCTACCCCAATACTGTGGGAAAACATAAAATATATCAATTCCACAAAGATTTTCATTGTAATGCAATTTTATCTTATGAAAATTTAAATGGTACAATATAAAAATATTAATAAAGTTCACTTTATACCACATAAATGATAAATAGAACAATATAAATGACCCAGATTTTTTTTTTCTTAATTTGCAAGAGGGCATGTGCACTCTTTTTTTTTTTTCTTTTCTTTTGGAGAGGTTTTCGCTATAGGGTGCGTGCGCTCGCCAAACAGACAGAGACAGACAGAGAGACAGAAAGTGAGAAATCACCCCCCAGGGGGTATGGCCACACCACAATCCCTTCTCCTCCATTCTCCTCTTGGGATCTTGGGCACACACGCACACGTGCCCGGCGTGAGTTTTAAGCCACCGGGTCCGGGACACGAACCACCGTCGACTTCGTGGGAGTCCAGCAACATAGCCATTACGCTGAATGCTGGTTCCAGGGCATGTGCACCCCCTGGGAAGCCCACACATGCCTAAGATCCCGAGAAAACGGAAGAGAAGGGATTGCGGCATGGCCATCCCCCTGGGCGGTGATTTCTCGCTTTCTGTCTGCCTTTCTGCTTAGCACATGTGCCCTACAGTAAAAACCTCTCCAAAAAAAAGAAAAAAAAAAAATTGCAAGAGGGCGTGTGTGCTCTTGAGAGATACAGAGGGTGGGAAGAATAAGAAAGCACTCCGCATGGGGAATGGTCATACTGCAATCCTTCTCCGTTTCTCCGTCCTTCTAGGATTTGGGGCACACATGCACATGTGTCTGATTTTTTTCTTTTTAAGGTGTTTGCCATACAGTGTGTGTGCTCGCCAGAGACAGTGAAAGTCACCCCCTGGGGGGATGGCCCTTCACCTCCATTCTCCTCTCCAGATTTTGGGCACAGGTATACACGTGTATGGTGTGATTTTTAATCCACCAGATCCAGGACTCAAATCACAGCTATGTGGGAGTCCAGCACTTTAACCATCATGCCACCTGCTGGCCACCCTGGCATGTTTTTTAAGCCACTCAGTGTTTGACTCGAGCTGTGAAGTCAGTTACGTGGGATCTAGCTCCTCAACCACCCTGCAACAGGCTGGCCCAGTCACTCAATTTTTTTTTTTTGGGGGGGGTGGGGAGGTTTTTGCTATAGGGCGTGTGTGCTCGCCAGAAAGACAGAGACAGAGAGACAAGAGAGTGAGAAATCACCCCCCCAGGGGGGATGGCCACACCACAATCCCTTCTTCTCCATTCTCCTCTCAGGATCTTAGGCACGCACACACACTCCCGACATGAGTTTAAGCCACTGGGTCCGGGACTCGAACCGTGGTCGACTATATGGGAGTCCAGCGACATAGCCATTATGCTAGCTGCTGGTCCCCTCCCAAATTTTAAGTCTGTCAAGCATTAAACACAGTTTTAAGGCAAGAGGCCAAGGGCAGAACTGTGTCTGTATCAGTCATAAGGAGGCTGTTTTAGCTGGAAACAGAAATAGCGCTGGCCTATGCTCCACTGTGAAGGTATCTAGAACAAGAGAGTTGCAGAGTGTCTTGGGAACAGTCACAGGCTTATTTTAATCTTCCCTGAGAAAAAAGAGGGGAGGGAGAGTGACAAAGCAAGCCGCCAGGTCCAGGACTCAAACCGTGGTCAGTCACATAGGAGTCCAGCACCTTAACTACCATGCCACCTGCCAGCACCCCCATACTCCTACTACCCTTTACCCCAAAATCAACCTAATTTTTAAAAATATTTGGTCTTTCTTTTAATCAAATTGTTTAGATACATGGCCGTCTTCATGGTGGTCACAGCATCCTCAAAAAATTAATTAATTAACTAAATAAATCAACAAGCTGGAGTGGGTATTTCTGGTTAGATGAACAGTTTCAGGACCCGAGGCCAGTAGGTGGCATGGTGGTTGAGGTGACGGACTACCACATGGCCATCTGACGTTCAAGTCCCAGACCTGGTGACTTGCTTTCTCACTTTCTCTGTCTCTCTCTGGTCAAATTAAACAATAATAATAAATAAAATAATTCTTAAAAAAAAAAAAAAGAAAAGGGCAAAACAGTGGCAGGACCTAACCTTAATTCTAGAAAAGAAACTGGATACTTTCTGGATGCTTTTCTCCTTGCCATAGCTGTTTTATACCACTATTTGGTGGGTCTTGACCACATTTCTGTAGGAAAATCATTAGAAGCAGGAGAAGAGGAGGAGTCACGGGAACCGGGCAGTAAAGACCATACTCACCCCGGGTTCTGAAGAAGAAAGGATGGTAGTTGCTTTCGTTTTTAACAGAAGGAAAAGGGACAATCTTTACAAAATAATCCGTTTCAAATTTCATATTCAGGAAAGGTTGAGATTCCATTCCCTAAAAGGGAACAAAAACACAGGTTACATCATGGGAAAACTACCCACGCTGCGACCCTGTCACCCAGACAGTCCCAGGGCTGGGGGACGTGCCCAGGTCTATCCCCTGGCCTAGATCAGGTCTGAATCTCGCTGTGATGATGGACAACGCTGTCTGTCCTTTGGCCAGGAAGCCACCACGGCTTGTTAATACCAGACTGCAGACCTGGGGGGCAGTGCGTGCCCACAGACACTCTTCCGAGCACAGACACCTTCCAGGCTGTCTGCCTGAGCGGTGGGTAACCCAGGAGGTGAGTTAACCGTGGAGAGGTGCTGAACAGCTGCCCTGGGAGCGTGGAGCCAGCTCCTGGTGCTGCCATGCCATTCTCTCCCACCTTGGCAGGTGGGGTGGGCCCCACAGCCCTCCCTTCTCCAATTTCAGGCTTTCAATGGACTATTCAGGCCCCCGCACAATGGCGCGTCCTCTGGAGCACATTCGGAGTGTGACTTACAGTTCTTTTGAAGCTGCTGTTGAGCTGCTTCGGGTCCTTTAGAATCAGTTGTTGGCACTGTCTTCCTTCCGACTTCAGCTCCTCCAGTATTACCCGAAATCCCTTTAGGAATTCGATGCCTAAGCAACAAGGAATGCTTTCATTAAAAGTGGACCTAATTACTTCTGAACACTCTCTCCTCCCAGATCACCAGATCACCATCCTCAACCTGTACGCCTGTGGGTGTGAACGGGCTCCTCGCTCTGGACAGGACGGCTGAGTGCAGAGTAAAGCAGGTGCCCATCCTGATCCGCCCGGTCCACACCAGCTGACTCCGTCCCACCGTTACTGAGGAACAGCCTCTCACCAGGCCAGCCATTTCGCAAACACCCATCACTTCTGTGGCATAACCATTCAAATATTTAGACCCGAGTCACAACTGATAAAACCTCACAGTGGGATATATCATTTCTAGGCTCACCAAACAGGGTACATTCAGCCGCTGATAACTCCCATTGCTGCCTAGAGGGTCCCCTTCAGCCATATTCCCATTTTAAGTTTTAGCTCTCTAGTTTTTTCTTCCTTTC